CCAGTGGCCACTGTGGCCAAATAGCCACAGGTGGGAGAGCTGTGGACAGGCAACACAGCCGCCCATGGCTCTCACAGGCCAGGAACCATCCAGCAGGTGTGTGCCGGTGGATCATATCTGCCGGCAGCCACACTGCCCATTGTCTGCTAAAAGGCACCACAGCAGCTGTCTGATGCCTCGCTCTGCATCAGCACCCAAGCTCCACACTGTCAAAGGCAGAACAGGAGCCAGTCTCCTGGTCACTCACTCTGTGTGAAGCAAGGCCTTGTGTCTTCAAGTCCCAAATGCCACTGTTCGGTTTTGTCTGGATTTGATTTTGCACCAAACCTTGCCATTACGAACCACAATGTCATGGTCTACCACAGTCACTGTGCTTAAAGTACCTATACTAAGCCTGATTTTCAAGCAGCTCAGAAATGTTTCTGCCAATGTAAATTTAATTTTGCTGCTCTTTGCTCCCACAAATCTAATATTCAAAGACCTCTAACTGGATTTCAGTGGGCCCCACAGGCTCCAGGATGACTTGGTCTGTCCAGCTGCACACCGTGGGCCAGAAGGGACTGTACTTCCCCACCACTTTACGTGATCTAATGAACTCCCCGACGGCTGGCTGAATCAAATCATCTCTGCAAAGGACCAGGCTCCTGTGTGACAGACTTTCCAGCTCTCTCCTTAAGCCATCCTGAGGCTTCTCTGCACAGCTCCCCTGTACCTTCAGGACAGCGCCGCTGCTGGCAGGCTGCATCCCACACCCAGGCCCTGCGGTTCAGCCGTGACCCCTGAAGCAGCAGTAGGTTTGTGGCCCCGCAGCAAAGCTCCTAGAGCTGAGCAGACCAGAGGCCAGGGTTGGTGTGAAGGTGGTGGATGGGTGGGGCCCACCATCACAGTTTCGGGATCAACCCTTGTGTGGAAAGTCACAGTTTACCAGCCTGAACTGCGTTTCCCCTCTGCCAGGAGGAGCAAGAGTAGCCTCTGGAAGGGGTAAGGCTGGAGGCTGCCAGCACCGGCGGGAGGCAGGCGGGCTGCAGGGCGGTTTCCACACAGAGAGGCAGCAAACCCACCCCGGGAGGGCTCGACCCGACCCCCGGAGAAAGCACAGCACGGGGCGCTGAGCGGCTCCCGGGTGCAGCCCCCTGCGGCGGGGCTGCAGTTCGAGCCGACTGCTTTGAGGCGGCCTGTGCCCAGCCTGCGCCGTTACCTCCCCGCTGCCAGCAGCGTTGCGGGCAGCCAAGGCCCCAGCCCCCGGGGGCAGACGGCCC